GTATTTAAAGGGTCTGCCCATATTTCAGTGTTAGTTTAGTTTTGATGTATACGCAGCATCGCCAATGAGCAATTATTTAGCGGAGCCGGACTTACATATGAAGAACACTGGAACAGATTGTTAGGTGTAAAAGCGGCCGAACTACTTTTCATAAAATATAACTTACCGCGACTTAATTTTGAATGTTAATTAAGTTTTATTTCTAATTTTTTTAATAAATAGTATTTCCGATTCCGCATCCGTTTCTGTTTCCGTTTCTGCAAAAAATATTTTTAACATCTGTTTCCGTTTCTGTTTCCGATATGACACTTCCGTTGCATCACTAATACAAAGTAAACTTTGGAAAACCTTAACAAACGTTATTGATCTTGAATATGTCCATGTAGGAGCAACAAGTCTTGTTTATACAGGTGAATTATATAAAGTTTTTGATAAGAACGTTTTGTGTTCATTTTTTTGTTCGAATATTGAAGGATGGCGATGAAGTCATCGGAGCTGAAATATGCCTGACTAATATGATAACGATAATCGAAGCATTCAGCTTCGCTTTTTTCCGGAATTTTCCATACAAAAATAAACTTAATATATATTATATTGGCTTTATGAGCTAATAAAGAAGCAGACATGAGCACAGATCACACTTGTGAATAGGTTACTAGATTAAGTACGCCGACAAGTACGTTAAAATTATAGAGGAGAGGGTGCAGGCAAATTTTTAACAATAATAATAATGTACATTGTTTTGCGTTATTATTATTATTAAAATCATATGTAGCATTATTTATTCTTATAGTTATACTCCAGACCGAATTTCGGTTGCTTCCGCCAGTCTCCACGGAGACTAGCCATCTGCGCAAGACTGGATCATAGTGCCAGAGTATTTGCGCAAGCAAAGTTGCACTCTATTCACTCACCCTCATAGTCCGATGGGACGGTGAACCGACACAACGGCTGTAAGTGATTTCGAAACACCGCTAACTTACTTCGGGCTGTTACTGATAATTTCTTATCAGAAAACCCCAATAAATGAGGCATTATGCTTAACTTATCCAAGACAAAGTGTATGCTTCTACAGCTCAGCCCTGAGTTACGGAATAATTGCAAACGAACGTACTTTTCAAACATATAGTCTAAGAGACCGTGGCAGATCGTCCTTCACCCATCTGATAACCAGATGATACCTATTTTTTATCGACATCAAAAAGGAGGAGGTATTCAATTCGGCTGTATGTTTTTTTATGTGAGTTACCTCATAACTTTTCTCTACGTGAACCGATTTTGATGATTTTTTTTTATAATGATTTCTTAAATTTACGGGAACACTACACATTGAATAAAACTAAATTTACGGATTTTATCACGTTTAAATAACTACTTTTACTTATTTTTAATTCCCGGCGTTTCGGGTGCTTTACAGCACCCATGGTCACGGGGGGGTCTGAGATGTTTGACGTCCCAATGTCATAGTTAGCCCGGCTACCTTCAGTTTTTTATATATTAATTTCGGTCCGATCTACGCAAAACGAGCTTACAGTATCTTGAAGTCTTGCAGTGGTATGCTTGGGTTTGGGTTTAATTTTGTTAATTATAGGATCCCAATTGATCCCAATAGAGAAGATGGATGGCAGCACCCATCCATCTTCTCTATTGAAATTAGGATGTTTTTTAATTTCAATAGCATGACGTATCATTCTTGGTAGGAAACGGTGTTCTTTTGCGAGGATTTGTGGTTTATCTAATCTGATGTAATGGTGGGGACGATCCTGAACAAGTTCATAGACTGCAGACTTCCCGGAGAGAGTGTGCTTCACGTCAGCTATGTGTTCTTTTTTATCTGAATGCTGGGGCTTCTCGTATACCATATAAGTTTATTCACGATCTGACCAGTAGTTTTTGAGTTATCTTTAATATTGCGTATTTTATTGACTTCGAATACATTAATGATGTTCTTAAAGACTTGATGATTGATTGATGATGTTCTTGAAGACTTGATGATTGATTGAAGTCAGTTGTACAATTTTTTTAATTTTACCACTTGTTTTTAGGAAATTTTATTGATTTATAAACACGCCTATGATAGCTTGTCTTTCGGAAAGTTTTTAATTAAATTAATTTTAATCATTTTTTTCATAACCTTCGCACTTTTGATAACCGAACAGATTTAGTTTAAACAAATAGTTTTAACATGGAGAATATGCCTTGGTAGGCTTGCCTACTTATTTCTGATCATGGCTACCTGGCAAGCATGTATGAACATATAACACAATACAGGTAACTACACCGATATGTTAACTAATAAAGTTGGTATCAGAAGAAAGATAATTTAATTACGAAAATAATCGTACTATATGCTTGTATGCAAAATACCGTTCTTGAAATATTGCCATGCTGTAAAGTTTTGAAATCGGAGCAATTAAATATGTGCGAGAGAGAAAGTAGTGCGAAGTAAAGGTTATGAAAAAAATTTGATTAAAATTAATTTAATTAAAAATAGCCATGTACACTTTTCGAAAGGCAAGCTATCATAGGTGTGTTTTTTGTAAATCAATAAAATGTCATAAAAATAGGTCTCATCTGGTTATCTTATGGGTGAAGGTCGATCTACCACGGTCTCCACTACTAATATATAGATAAAATTGTTAAGCTACAAGTTAGGTTAGTAAAATTGTTTATCGATGAAAACAGAGCAAAAATATAACATAGACAAAATAACTTATAGTAGAAGAAATAAATATTAAATACGTTGAGCATATAGCTAAAAAAATAATATTCTACCTCCAATTTATAGATATTTTGTAGACTTGGTATGAACATTAAGATTGTAATCGTGGATGCTGGATAATTATACGTGTAATTAAAGTTAATTTCTAAATTAAAAATAATACCTAGTTATAATTAATTAATAAGTTTTAAGATAATGAAGTATGTAAATAACATATTAAGTTTAAACTAAATATTTCTATTTTAAGTTTAAACCTAAAATTAGAATATTAATTACAGTAGCTGCATAAAATGTATTCGCCAACAAACCTGCAGTTTGATGAAAGTAATTGAAGAAACAACCGACTGTATTTTTATGAAATATATATATATATATATATATATATATATATATATATATATATATATATATATATATGTCTCAGTTTTATTATAAAATCAATGATAACCAGCACAAACGAAAAATAAAGAAAAATTTTTTGATCAAAAACCTATACTGATTTAGTCTTTTAATAAAATCAACCTAACCTTACCTTTTTTAAATGGGAAAATACCTACGTATACCCGCCTTGCGGGGGGCAAGGACGGGTTATGTCGGACTCGCACCGATCCAAACTTATGAGTTCCACCTTTGTCACATATTGGCAAGGCCACGGGAACGCTTTCGCACACATCCGTACTTAATCTCATCATTAACCTGAACAAATTCTGTTTTTGTACTTAATCTTATCATTAACCTGAACTTGTTTAGGTTTATGATAAAATTTAAGCCTAACCTAAGCTTTGCCCCCCGAGTTCTCCCCAAGCGAGTTCCCGCCTTGTCGTAGTGGTGAAAGTGGAACCCACATCCCACATGGCTGTCCCGAGGTGGCCAAGAGTGGGATGCGGCGAGCATGTTTAAAAGCCTAGGTTTTTAATCAAAACGTGATTTTATCATAAGGTACTTACACAGGGTGTTAGTGTAAACACCGTTGTCCTTGAAACCAGTGGTTTGGTTTCACTTATAGAACGTAAAGTCAATGAAAAATAACATATTTTTTTTAGGTAAAATCTCAATTTTTCCTTAATTCCTCAATTTTTGCCTGTTATGTGTAGCTATTAAGTTTTTTTGTTGAATGTCGTGTAGGTAGCTAGCGCGGGCGGTGATCTTTACAGTGATTACGTCACTCGGGCGCATAGGGTATCCATGAATTTACGGACGGTGTCGGACAGAAACTTTTTAAATATTATGAAAGAAAATAGCGTTTTTTTTTAAATTCACGTTCTATAAGTGAAACCAAACCACTGGTTTCAAGGACAACGGTGTTTACATTAACAACCTGTATAAAAAAAGATTACTGTAGATTATTGGTAATGTAATATTTTCTCTCTTCGACTCGTTGCATGACGAAAACAACTTATAACGGTTTTTAGTTGTTACGTGAATTTCGTACTTAGTATGCATTGTAATGTAAACCAAAATGTGTTTCTAGATATACGATGTCAGATTGTCGTTGCTTATATTCAGTACTTAGCAGGGTTATTCTGCTACCATGTCATCCAGATGCTGTGTAGTAGCGGCATAAGAATCCACATCACATCATTCCGTGGGTGTCGTAGGTGGCGACAGAGGGAAATATTACTGGAGATGGGCAGAAGCGTTGGATATAAACTTCGGTTCGGTTGCAAATTCGCCTGCCAAGCGAAACCTACGGAAATATCTTCCCTATAATAAGCCTGCGTTCAGCGTCGGACTCTTGTTTGAATGACTCAGACTATTAATTGGATGAATAATAAATAAAACTTCAATTTATATCATCCCATCTTTTCATGTATAATACCTACCTAATTTTCTTTGTCAATGCTTTTGTGACTTCTGAAGTGGTAAGATATTTATGGCACTGGTTATATAAATTTAGGTTTAATTCCAACCGTGGACTTTTTATAGGATAGGGTGACAAACGAGCACACAGTCCACCTGGTGGTAAGTGGTTGCTGTGGCCCATAGATATCTACATCTATCATCGATGACGAATCAAAATGCAGATGCGTTGTCACCCCTGAGGACAAAGATGGAATGACTCGTTTCCAGTAAAAAGGGTCTCCGATTCTCTACCCTCACAATACGAAATACAATAGCGTTAGCTACTATTTTACGCTGGTATTCTGTGAGAGCGCGGTCCTTCCTCGATCGAGCCAACTCATTTTTGCTACAACCATACTACTAATATAACTGCGGCATGGCTCTATCAAAAGGTTGTTGAAGATTTTTAATAACACTTTAATTGCATTGTTTTTAGATCGGAATTGCAATTTCACACGCCTTATGGAGCAGCGCAAGCACGTTCAGTATCTTTGTTTTGGCTCGATTCATTGGTGGACTGAGTAAAGCAAACATCAGTTTAAGTATGGCCATTGTGACTGATGCATCTGATGAAAAGACTAGAGCTAGGGGAATGGTAAGATTAATGTCCATTAGGACATCATTTTTTTAATCGTGGTAATTTATATTACTGAAATGTTAAACGAAATCAGATAGAGTCCACCTTATGGTAAGTGGTTACTGCCGTTCATGGACACCTGCAACCAATTTTAAACAAATAAGGTTACAGATGCGTTGTCATCTCTGAGGACTAAGATGGATTGCCCATAGCATGCAATTATACTAGCACTGCTATTTGCCGGCACAAATAGGCCAGTGAATGGTATTCACCCAGACGAATTTCTAGACAGAAATGGAATACTACTGCATAGTAAAATTGTTTAGTTACCCGCAATAAAAGTACTATCAGATTACAATAAGTAATCATTTTCAGGCACTTATAGGATTAGCATTTTCAATCGGATTCATAGTGGGTCCAATGGCTGGTGCATGGTTCGCGAAAACAAACGACGTTTATTTTGGAATGTGGGGCCAGAGACCGGCGTTATATGCACTATCTCTTTCTCTCGCCAACATTGTTCTCGTTTATTTATTTATACCAGAAACACTATCTAAGGTTTGCTTTATTTTTTTACATTAAAATATATTTTAAATATCAACCCGTCATATATTAGACTATTCATGAATTCTATCTCTTTCAGGATAAAAGAGCACCCCTTTCGCTGTCTCTTTCTAAAGCGGTCGAATTTGTTTCTCCCTTGCACCTTTTAAAATTTACTGCTGTCGAAAATCTGTCACAGCATCAAAACAAAGTATTATCTAAATTAGGAATGATTTACTTCATGTATTTATTTATATATTCTGGACTCGAATTTACTATAACATTTCTAACGCATCATACCTTCTCTTACACTGCGATGCAGCAAGGGAAAATGTTTTTAGTCATAGGTAAGATTTACAATTTTTATTCTAAAATTTTTAATACAAAGAAAAAAGAAATTTACTGCAAGAACAAGATAAGAAAAGGTTAAAAGTGTGGGTAGAAATATAGAAATAAAATTGTTTTGAAATTACAAAGTTGCTGCTGATTTACTACGTTCTAAGCGACGATGGACAAGATAGCGAGGAAACCTTATATTATTATATCATGCCTCTAGCCGACATGACTGGCCTAATTCCTAAGGTAAAAGTGCAAGAAATTTCTAATACATGTTATACATGGTGTCTTTCGGTCTCAAAAAGCTGAATACCATTAATTTTTTATCTTTTTTTTTATCAGTGCGCATAATCCAATGTTGGATATCGATTATCGCCTATTGCGTAGTGGATTTGCCTTGATCGTTAAGCGTGTCACACACTACGCAGATACGATATCTGTATCTGAGAGTATATCTTTAAATATCGCTCTGTATGAAATTCCATGAAATCCCACACACAGCGCAGATAGTTTATATTTTTCGTTAAGTATCTGTAAGCACTGACATATATAGAAAAATAGTGACAATATTATCTGCTCATACAAATATATCTGCAGATACAAATATGGCATAGGATTTTGCAGATAAATACAGGTGATGGCTGAAAAATTGCGATTAAATTCGCCTCGGTCCTTCTTAAGCTTTATATGACGTTCTATCCAAATTTTTCCCCTTTTAGTAAATGCTAATCCAAGACGTGCATCAAAATCAAAATCTGTATCCTATTCTGACGAGCTATGGTGGAGCTATATTGGTAACATTCTGTATAAACAATTCGCTCCAAAAACACGTCTAGTAAGTTTGAAAGATTTCGAGTGAATGTATCATTTCGCATCTGCCTAGTGTGTGATACTTTCAGATAGTTAAGGTTTTATACGCGGATAAAATATCGTATCTGCATAGTGTGTGACTCGCTTTACGCTTGGCAAGCGATTCGATTGCAGTAGTTTCCCACTTTAGACGATGCTTCCCGTCGCCGGTCTAGGTATTTTACGCCTGGCATAATCGTGATGGTTATATCACCATCTATCGGAATTTAGAAGATCTTTTTCGTATATCTCTCAGACGCCTCTTTCAAACTTTCAACATCCACGAGACGAAATAGGATGATGCTTTACGTCGCTACCATGGAAACAAAAGTAGGTATAAATATTGTTTGGAATTCAAATACAGTTGCACGAGCAAAGTACTGTATATATAGCCCTGTTGCTGTAAATTAATCTATGTATTTGAAAATTTAACATTCTCACATCGTTAGTGAACCTTTAGAAGCGAAGAAGTCGCACAAAATCGGTTTATACTACCCGTGCTATTAACATCTACGGCAAATACTCGGCTACTTATTTAGTTTCCCGATTAATAAACAACTTACCTTCTAATTTACGTAATAACATTACACGAGAAATTATTAAAACAAAATTAAAACCTTACTTCCTACTTAACACTGATCTTGACACTTAGAAGTGACCATACCTACCAAGCGTCTAGCTATTTACATATTACTTAACTTATCAAAATCATAAATATAGCTCGATTTTAAAACTATTTGCAACACAATGTTATATTACGTATATTTTATTTTCTTTAATAAACCTTGTGGAAATATCGAAGTAGACGATAGCATTATTCACAAACTTTTGTTGTTATTCTATTTTACTTATGCTTTTGTATTCAACTTTGGTATAATAAATTTAAAAAAGTTTAACGTGTTTATTCAGATTTTGTCTGGATGAAGAATAAAATCCGGGGTAAACATTGGACCTACGTTTTCATATCATCCTAATATAATCTAGTGAATTGAATTACTGTGATACCTTACGTATTCAATAATACTTAAACTACCTAATACTATTTTTTTATGAAATTTTTGTTACGTGTGTAGTGCCATACTTACATGACGATGATGATGATGATGGTATCGCCTGTCTGGTCGACATACGGCTACGACAACTTAGACACATCCTTATTCCTTTATTATGTGACAAAAGAGCACCCAGTACACCTGATGGTGAGTGGATGCTGTAGCCCAGAGACATCTACACCAATTGTCATCCCTGAGGACTAAGATGGAATGTCTCTTTACCAGTATAAAGGGGTTTACCGATCTCATACTTATCACATAGGAAACCAGCTTCGTTAAGGTATTATATAAGAGGATGGTACTTCGCCAGTTAAGTCGACCCATTCGTGCTACAACCATAATATAGCTGCAGAGTGGCGTCTACCACGTATAATAGATAATTAAAAATTAACTAATATATCTTTTTTAAACAACAATAATAATGTCAATAAGAAAAAACTTTTTTTAACTTTTGTCAGACCACGTGAAGAAATAACTAAGAATCATATAATATGTATCGTTAAATGTGGTTGAGCGTTAGGAAGCTATTATATAACATTAATATGTAAATTAGTTTACCACGATTAAAACCTGTATTAGTAATGGTATTTTACCGCAACAACGTCGATCTTTCTTTTTATATTTTAGTTATACGACGTAAAACCGTACACTCGGTTTTAGTGTTATTGTCATGTGTATTAGTCAAGGTACTCATGACTAGAGTGCCAAATACTAGGGTCGTGAATCGTGACCGGAGACAACATTCATGCAAAAACACAAATTGTTGATATTCAGGTCTTTATATGTTATAAATGTACCCTGATACTGCACTTTAGATGATTTTGATCATTTTTTTAAAGAATAAGGGTGACAAACGGGCACGCGGTCCACCTGATGGTTGGATGCTGTAACCCATAGACATCTACATTTATCCTCGACTAAGAATCAAAACGCAGATGCGTTGTCACCCCTGAGGGCTAAGATGGACTGCCTCGTTTCCAGTAAAAAAGGGTCTCCGGATCTCTACACTCACCATACGAAACACAGTAATATTAAGGTGTTATTTTACGCTGCTAATCTGTGAGAGAGTGGTCCTTGCCCGGTTAAGCCGACCCATTCGTGCTACAACCAATAACTGCAGCGTGGCTCTGCCACGAAAAAAAAACTGGGCTCCGAATATTTGGATAGACGTTGGCAGAATAACATTATGACTTGATCAAATGCTATTACTATTTATTTTATTTGAAGTTGGCTGCAAGGACCAGTTACCATCTGGTGAACAGTTATGAAAAGTACATTACAAAAAATAAATAAAAAATTGTTATTAGGGTTGATAATGGCAGTGCTACAAGGTGGTGCTGCTAGAAGATTAAGTCCAAAAGGAGCTGAGCGGGCGGCGCGGTGGGCTTTGATACTTACGCCACTCTCTTTTCTGTGCGTGGCACTAGCAGCGTGTAACAAGCCACCTCTCCTATCAGCTATTGTTTGGCTGTGGGCTGGTCTCGTACTCTTCGCATTATGTAAGCATTTATCAATATGATTATTTTAGTGTTATCGTATACCTGCACCGGTACAGCCTATTAAAGTCCACTGCCGAACATAGGCCTCCCCCATAGAATGCCTCATAGGGGAGATATTGGCCACGTTTGGCAAGCGTGTTAGCAACTGCAGTTTTTAGGGTTCCGTAGTCAACTAGGAACCCTTATAGTTTCGCCATGTCTGTCTGTCCGTCTGTCCGTCCTCGCTTAATCTCTGTGACCGTTAGCACTAGAAAGCTGAAATTTGGTACCAATATGTGTATCAATCACGCCGACAAAGTGGTAAAATAAAAATTGGAAAAAATGTTTTATTAGGGTAGCCCCCCTATATGTAAAGTGGGAAGTGATTTTTTTTTAATTTTAACCCTTAAGTGTGATATATTGTTGGAAAGGTATTTAAAAATGAATAGGGGTTTACTAAAATCATTTTTGATAATGTCAATAATTTCGGAAATAATCGCTCCAAAAGTAAAAAACAATGTGTCCCCCCCCTCTAACTTTTGAACCATAAGTTTAGAAAATATGAAAAAAATCTGAAAAGTAGAACTTTATAAGGACTTTCTAGGAAAATCATTTTGAACTTGGATGGAACCAACAGTACCCACTACCGGGAGCAGTTGCAGGAGCGCGGAGCGCTGCTGGAGCGCGAACATAATGGATACCCACCTTTAAACTCATAAGTGGGAACACTTATTGTGACGGACGGAAAACTACGGAACCCTACACTGAGCGTGGCCCGACACGCTCTTGGTCGGTTTTATTTATAGTCTAGGCAGGTATTAGGAAGACGCTGCTGCCCATTTCCTGATGTGTTTTCTTCCGTCACCTCTTACCACACCTACGGGATGATATTGGGTTGTGGATATTCTTACACCGCCACTATATGGTAGTGTTGTTTTAAAGTTCATTTTTTTTCTTTTTTGGAATATTGTAAGAATTTTTTTTTTTTTAATAGACTGTCTCCCTATGTATAATGTAATGCATACTGAGTACAGTACTGCCCTTTCAAAAAAAAATTAAGAAAATAAAGAATATACAAATTGATTTAGTAAGAAAATGTACCTGTCCATAATATGTACTCGCATGACTTACGATGCTAGCTTTTTAATAGTCTATTAGTTTGATTTAAATAAGGATGACGGGGAATAAAAAATTTTAGATGATAGGATGCATTTTGACGGGAAAATGCGAGTTATGTTTTAACTGGCGAACAAGGCATCAAATATGTAAAATATTTTGGAACTTGAAAGGATCACGGTGTCGTTATTTATTCCACTATACCATAATGACAAAGAAGGCTAAATATTATATTGTCATGTACCATTTTGTCTTATCTTCATGTAGTTTGGCTTGCATAAATTAACTTGACTTTTTTTTTGTAAAAATAAATTATAATTTTTATAACGTTTTTAATAACTCGCTTTTGTGTATGTCTATTCGGGTTAGAGTAAGGGTACCATACGTCAGGATTAAAAATAATTGTAATTCTTTTAATCTACCTATATAGAAATGAACTTATATTGTACTGTGCAACTACATATGTACAAAATTGAATCGAATATTGTGTAAGTTTCACCTAATATTCTATTCAATCCCTTTAATAACTTATGCATATAACATCTTTGTTATCTCGTTTAGCATCAATTCAAGATGCACAATAGAAACACAATATACGAACTTCGCATCCTTGTTTTAAAAATATGGTATATTTTTGGCAAAATTAAAAAGACATTTTATTATTTTCATTCAAGAGTATTATATCAGTTTTCAAGATAAGAAAATTTTCTGTTCAAATTCGAACACCCTATCCCCCGGAAAGGGGTTGTTTGAAAAATCGCTATTATGTCTTCATTTATTTTGAACATTACACAGAGAATTTTTCATATACGTATATATACAACATTATACAGAGAATTTTTCATATACGTATATATTAAATCGCGACTACTCGCGACAATAATGCCAGAACATTTTTATAGAAATCAGGCTTTTGTCAGGACTTTCCAGCGAGACACCTGGTAACCCTAGTTCGGGTGGAATTTAGTAATTGAGTTTTTTAAACTAACTTTCCGATGAACTAGAGACTTGGATTTGAACATAGCTTAGAACCTGATGACAATGTAAAGAATACGAAAAAACATGGTATATTAAAAAAACATCACTTGTATTCACGGCAGCACACTTCGCTGTAATTATAATTTGCATAAAGCAAACCGTATTCAAGTTTTGTATTTTTGTTACATATTGTATACCCTGTGTACATTATTGGTCTGTGCCAACATAACGTGTTTGTTGTTTGTATCGTAGCGACAGCGTTCGCGGTGTCGTGTATGACGACGATGGCGGCGGCGCAGGCGCCCGCGGCGGCGCGTGGCGGCGTGTTGGGCACGCTCCGCTCGCTGGGCGCCCTCGCACGCGCTGCTGGCCCACTGCTGGCCTCCGCTCGTGAGTACTCCCTCGCACGCAAACTTTTTTATGTGCCCGAAGCAAATATGGGCAACTCTCCGGTAACGGGGGAGGGAGATAATGAATGCTCATAGCATACCGTAATAGTATACAGTATATATACATAATAGTACTCATAGCATAATATTTCCAAGTAAGCACATCTATAGGATGCAACATCGCTCATTAAAAACATCAAAGCTTACGTACAATATATCGATTTTTTTCGGTGTTTTTTATCATCATTTAAATATATACATACATACAAAATAATCATTTTGAACAGAAATGAAACAAAGAAGTATAATAATCAAACATTATATTTATGTTATTTTAGGAAGTTTAACACTATTTGATTTTCCACTCATAGCATACCACGCAGCCGGCTGCGTGGTTATGTGGAGACTTTTACCCATTAAACACCACCTTTTGGGATTGGCTTAACGATCTGACGAGAGATCTTTAAGCCGTAAACGGACGCGACCCTTGCCAAGCTTGCAAGCTTGCCGCCATACAACAAGCCTGCGCCGGACCGAAAAGGAGTAGCCATAAGCAGGCGTTCCCCAGTGTCAAAGTAAAAGTCCTCGCGATTCTACGCATGCAACATAATGCTTATCTAAATCTAGTTGCGTGGTTGAATTGGTGTCCTAAAAAATTGCTGAATCGTTCAGTTTTTCGCTGCAAAAAGGGATCTCCCACGTCCAATTTACAAAAGGATGGCGTTACCTACATTATACTGGATGACATTTTTTACCGTCTGGAAAAAATAGGTTGAACATGTGAATGGAGTAGAAGCCTATGGCACTGACATTTTACAATAAATAAAAACAAAAATTTTGAATTCAATAAACTAAATAAAATCTTTCGAAATTCATAATCATATCCACCCTACTTTATGAACGGCAATAAAACAATAAATTTAGTTGGCATCTTTGAACTTGTCACTTCGCAAGGTTACACGCTTAAAGGAGGCAAAGTAATAGTTCAATAATTTTTTTCAAACGTTTAATACAAAATTTTTATTCTAATTTTTTGTAAAATATCAGCGCCATAGGCTTCTACTCCATTCACATGTTACACCCTATTCTTTTCCAAATGGTAAAAAAGGTCATAAGTAATTTTTTATAACATTACTGCTATTTACATATTTTTAAACTTATCGGGGAAGAACGCTATGGCTACTCCCCTCCGGCTGGCTAGTGGCCTCTGTTGCTGTATGCTTGAAACAATACAATACCAAAGATTTCTATGCATACTACTAGACGAGCTCTAAGGCTTTAATATATTGCGCACTATGTTACGTTTATTCGAAACTCCTTTAGTCGATTGCTAGCGTACGAGAACACTAGTTCTTTGTTATCTTTACCACGAACATTGCTTTCGATAATCTAACACTCATTTTATTTAATGTAACTAGAAAACGCTGTTATTACATATATATGCGCACTTTGACAACGTGATTGAAATTTATTTCAAATAACTATGGTACTTCATTTCGTATTTGTCTAAAACCGGTCCGTTAAAGTCCGACATAACCTTTGTGTTGCCCCCGCAAACGAAGGTATCCATGAGGATTTGCCCGCGTTAAAAAGAGGGCTGTAACCAACCGTGAGACGTAATTTTTTTATTTATTAGGATTACCAACGATTGATACATTAGTACATCTTTAATTAAATTTTACGATTGTATTATTTCTAAATGTACAATCACTTAATTTAATCACAGCATGCTATCAATTTACAATTTAGCACTAATTACATAAGGAATCCTTAATATTAAGAATTTGCTATTGTATGCGTGCGTACATGCGTGCGTGAGTTTGTGTGTGTGTGTGTGTGTGTGTGTGTGCGCGCGTGCGTGCGTGCGTGCGTGCGTGCGTGCGTGCGTGCGTGCGTGCGTGCGTGCGTGCGCGCGTGCGTGCGTGCGTGCGTGCGTGTGTGCGTGTGTGTGTGTGTGTGTGTGTGTGTGTGTGTGTGTGTGTGAGTGTGTATGTGTGAGTGTGTTTTACATTAGTTATTGCTACCAGTTTCTTGACTCCACAGAGTCAGTAATTCATTCTTGGGGCAATGTATACGCTATTACAATAAAGTCCCAGAAAATATACAAGGTCTCTCTATTACCAAGTTTAAATATTTAATTAAACAAAAACTGTATAAAATAAGGTCGTTATTGTATAAATGAATACATGGTTGATAATAATGGAATGGAATGAGGTGGTCGCTTCCAAGCTGTTTTTAAAATAAATTTTGTAAATATTTTGTGACCCTTGACATTGTAAAATTTATTTAAAAAAAAAGTCCCGCTGGGTTTCTTGCTGGTTCTTCTCAGGACAGAGATTTTTTTTGAACCAGTGGTAAAGTAAAATATTGACTTTTAATAAGAATAATACTTGTAATCTATATTGAACAATTATTCTATTCTATTAACTTATTAACACTTAAGTACACGATCTGTGCTTAAAAAAAGTTATAAAACTGACATATGGAATCAAAATTAACATTAACGATATCACTTTATTCATTAAAGATTTATTATAAACTGAAACCTAACTTTAAGTGTGTACCGTGTAGTGATGGTGTAAGCCGTGTAAGTATATCGAACTACCCTGAGTATGTAAGAGGCGACAGAGGGAAACTAAAACAGACTAGCAGCAGCATGTTCCTGATAACAATTCGAAATAACAAAAAGCTTCGTTTGCCAACCCGCCTGCTCAGCGTCGCAACCTTTGATTATATACCTGTCTAGATGCCACATTGTCCGTACAAAACGGCTCAAATAAAGTCTACTAAATATTGGTAGACTCGCTTCTCACCTACGTCAGTATCATTTGAATCACTTAGGGATAACGTTCTCACGGAAAATAATTAATTATCCCGGTTTGTGCTGTTAAACTGTGTCGCAATTATGTGAGATACCCGTATAATAACACCAAGATCACTTTTCATTAATAAGTTTTGTTATTTAACCACTATAGTTGTATGAAAACACGATTTTTTAATTCGTTACTTTGTAGTTTAGTCTGATCAGCTGGTGTTGTCAGTTTATTACTAGGGAGTTTTGACGAAACTATGGGAGACAAAATACAAATATTATTACATCATCTTTCGATCAGAACATTATTATTTTAAAAATTACTTTAGTTATTTGATCAGTAAATGATAACCCACCTACACAAAATAAATGAAACCCATGACGTCATGTACTAAATAGTATTTTTGTTAGTTCTTTCAAATATTTTTATATTTTTAAATAAAATAAATAAAACTAACCTATTTTGTTTAACTTTCATCTGATAAAACAAGTATATATAATCAAAACCTCCGACGTTTGTCTCCCCCGGCCAGGTCTCCCATCTGGTTGGATTTGATTTATTAATGTATTTATTTTATTTTATTTTATTTTGATATGTATTTCATAATTTTCATTTATATATTTATAAAACTATAACTAAAAATACATAAATGTCAAAACTAACTATTTAAATACCAATAAAAATGGTACATTAAAGATGACAAGTAGTTTTACATAGTCCATATGTTTACCATATCTGACATGTGAAAATTATTTAACATAATATATCAAATCATTATTTTTATAAGTAAGCAAGTCAATATATAAATAATTTATATCAAATTAAATAAAATTAATTAAAAGTACAATTGTCATTTGAAACGTTATTATTTTATAACTAGGCAAACCAAAATAAGTATATATAATTTTTTTTAATTTCAAATGAGTATTTAATCTAATGGGAAATATTCAAGAGCTGGTATCACTCAGCTCGCTTCCGAGTGACGCAGCGCGCTTGTTAAACAATAGTAGTTACGCATACTTGTGTGTGTAATAAGCACAAAAGTGCTGGAAATCGGACCCGTTGTTTTTGTTACGATTGTAGCGCAACACTATCTAGACAGGTATACTAGGTGTAAGTGTAAACATCGTTGTCACTAAAACCATAGGCTTTAATAAAAAATATTTATCCGAATTAAAAAAAACCGCTATTTTCTTTCATAAAATTTAAAGTTTCTGTCCGACACCGTCCATAAAATCATGGATACCCTATGCGCCCGAGTGACGTAATCACTGTAAAAATCACCGCCCGCCCTAGCTACCTACATAACATTCCAATAAAAACACATCACATAACCTATGACCCTGTGATGTAACTTTTCCTTCATACTTTCATCCTGGCTTAGGACAGGCAAAAATTGAGGAATTAAGGAAAAGTTGAGATTTTACTAAAAAAATGTTATTTTTCATTGAATTTACGTTCTATAAGTGAAACCAAACCACTGGTTTCAAGGATAACGGTGTTTATACTAACATCCTGTATAATCAAAGGTCGCAACTATTACAAAATCCCTATGTAATCCCTATGACGCAATCTATGGTGTAGGCCTATATTCAGAGTGGACTTTTGAGAGGCTTCCAGTTCAAATAAGCTTCGGAATTATGTAATTACTTTCAAACTTTAATTAAAGTAATAAAATAATTATTATGAAACAAGTAATATTAATATAAGTGTAAGTTAAAGTAAATCACCGGCACAATTCTCGATTACTGCCAAAAATATGTATTTTTTTAATATGAGGGAATAATATTTAATTGTAAATCCTACTAATAACTCGAACATTTTTGTGTATTTACTAACTAGTAATTGTATAATATAGCCATTTATTATTATTGTTTCAGTTTATTGGTACTTTGGTGCAGCGACAACCTACTCTTTTGGATCAATCATTCTAATCGTCCCTGCTGTGATGTTATTTAGACTGAAAACATGAACAGTTATTTATATTCACACTTTATACAGTATTTATGTAAACTTGTCTATTAAATTTAATTTTTTTATCATTTACCGTTTACATTAATATTTTAACTTTACAATTGTATTATAATATTACTGTTCGAATATAAATCAGTATTAAAATAAATATTTTTTTCAGTTACTTGTGTTTTATTTCAGTGTAAATAATTTAAATGTTTTGTGAATACATCTCACCTACACGATAAAGAGACTAAACACAGTGACCGCAAATAAAACATTTGCTACAAATTGCAATGATTCTGTTGACTTTTGCTAGCTTGTGTGTGACGACTCCTTAAGACATACAGAAAATTCGATGGATGCAGGTGGATCTCGATCTCAATGCAGTCAATATATTTTTGTTCAAAATTAGATTTTACGAAACTTTTTGAAAGTCATAAATCTACGCCATCGTTTAATTGCGGTAAGCCTCTTGAGAAGAAGCGATAACTCACAAGTAGACAGACTATTTATCTCTAACAGTTACAATTTAACCTCATAAAATAACTATATCATAATATTTACGCGAACAAGAAAACGCGTGCGGGGCCAACCCCAGGGGCCAAAAAAAAAAAAAAAAAAAAAAAAAAAAAAATCATCTATATGGTTGCTAATTACTTTATAATGTCCATGCATTTTTAACTTACATAAAATCTTTTTGGACTTTTTCCATTAAAATGCTTCTGAGCTTTGAATTTAGGCAAATGTAACTTGGTAATATTACAGAGAATCTTGTTATAAACAGCTATCTTTCCAAAAATGAGCCGTTTCTTATGATCTTATGAAACCCGTACCTACTTTGTAGCAGCAAGGTTATGCTCGAAACAGGATCACTTAAACTGACGTACATCCAAATACTGACCATGAGTGTGAAATCTTAAGTTGAAATTTTTAACTGACTGCAACTCTCGGTGTTTTCCGGGCGCATAGTCAGTTAAACTGATCAGTTTAGCTGACGTACATCCAAATACTGACCATGAGTGTGAAATCTTAAGGGTATTAAATTGCCCAATGACCTTGAGGATTTCGAGAGACTTATGTATTGCGTCCCGAGTATCCGTCACAGGTCTTTGCGGGGTTGCTTGTCGCGGGGTGCTAGTGTAATTTTGGGTATTACTTTATTATTCAAAAATGGTAAATAAAATTAAAAAAATAATAATAAAAATTGTTAAATGCGTCATTGCGGTGATTCTGGTATATAATACATGCCGAACTATTAAGCCGTTATTGAGACAATTTACAATTTATCTTAAAAAAGGGCCTATTTACTTCAATTGTTTTCCAAAGTTTGGACATTTTTATTAAAATTTTAAACAATACAATTTATTTGTGATTATCTTAAGTTAAACATATATTTTTTATGGGGCACAGGCACAAAGAGATTCACATACAAACTTCTTTAAACATAGGATGTTTTTGGAATTTGAGCGATGTAATCCCCTTATATTATCCAGTAAAACAAGTGAAGTTATAATTTTTTTGACCTGAAACCTGTAGCGCGTAGAGATAAGGAGGACTATCTCATATGGGTTACAAAACAAACACTAAAAACCTTCCAGAATGGCACTAGCGTAAATACAGGGTATGGTATGAATGTAGCAGTCGTAGGTGGATTAAAGTGTGCCGTGTAAAAAAAAATATTTTTAAAAGACTAATTTTGTTTTATGCCAATAAATATATTTTCATACGTTTTTATAATTTACTAGCTGTTACCCGCGGCTTCGCCCGCATGGTCACTGGGAAATGAACTATCCATTGCTTTTTGAATTGAAAGAAAACTGAGTTTTATAGATTTGTCAGAGATGCAGCCATTAAAAGGAAACTGAGCAAAATTGATTCGTCAGCCTATTTAAATGTTTTGAAACGCAGCGTATAGGAAAGCATGAAAATTGCCTGTTCATTCCCAATGGAAATGGGATATTTTTTTTAATTCAAGAAAACTGAGCATAATTATCCGTCAGGGATGCAGACTTTTGAAAAGAAACTGAGCTGATTCGTCAGAGATGCAGTTTTCTGCATTGAAAGGAAACTGAGCCAAATAAAAGATCCGTCAGAGATGCAGCGTTTTGAGTTGAAAGGAAACTGAGCTTAATAGGTTCGTCAGAGGTGCAGCATTTGGAATTGAAAAGAAACTGAGCTAAATAGGAAATTTTGAATTGAAAGGGAAGATCTGTGGGAATTCTGATTAATTGATTGTGGGAATTTTGGAAAAAAAAACACTTACTGAACACTATTTTAAGACGCTACTGTACACAATGTTATATGTTTTTCCATTCGGGGAAAGAATGTGGAGATTCTGGGCATTTGACACACGCGAACATGCTACATACAGCTGACCATGAGAGAAGCACGGTTTTTCTAAGTTGACCCCCGCTACCTATAACATTTGCCTTTACGCTTTATTAATTGTTATTTCAAAACTGAGCTTAATAGGGAACTGCAACCTTTTGAATTGAAAAGGAAGATCTGTGGGAATTATAGGGATCCGTGTTATAATAACGTTTTCACCTTTTCCTACGCCTGTCAAAATTGTAGCGCCGATTATGTTCCGTCCAAGATTTGTCACACGCAGCCTTGTCCCGTTACATAACCGAGGAGCATCTAAATTTCACATTAGCATGACTAGGGCGCCTAATTTTAATTGAAGCTTATGTGAGGGCACACCTGACAACTCTAGAGAGTTTAGAAACTCTACGGGATATGAAGTGCTCTGTTCTGTGTCCATAACTGTATCTACTGACAAATACTTCGTTATTTCTCCTGCTACTTCGCTTAATATATCTGAATTTATTTTGTTAACGCTCTCATTTTTTGGTGCAAGAATCGCCCTTTCACATAACCATTAATTTGTCTTCATGCATGTTGTTCGTTAAATCTGAATAATCTGAATAAATAATATCCTCCAACTTCCATCTTTATGCAGACGATTTGCAGCTTTACCGACACTTTGTGGCATCTGAAGCTAAATTGGCGATAGAAGCACTGAATGATGACTTGAAGAGAATTAGTCGTTGGTCCAGATCACATGGTATAACTATTAATCCAAGTAAGTCTCAAGCAATAATAGTAAGTAGCAGATATACTAGTAGCTTAATTGATAAATGCACCCTGCCAGATGTGATTATCAATGGCACATCAATTACTTATACTGAATCTGTGAAGAATTTGGGCTTAATTATTGACAATACGTTGTCATGGGGTCCTCACATAATGGACTTAGGTAGAAAAGTTTATTATGCTTTCCACTCATTAAAACGTCTACAAAGTTTTTTACCCTTATCAACGAAAATTACTCTTGTTCAAACCCTTATTTTGCCTATCTTAGATTACGCTGATGTCTGTTTTTTGGATGCCACAGAGGAGCAATTAAACAAACTTGAGCGATTACAAAACCTTTGCATTCGGTATATTTTCGGACTCAAGAAGTTTGACCACGTCTCTGAATATAGAAAGCAACTCAAGTGGCTCCCGATCCGATTTCGCAGGAACACTCGTATCCTTTGTCTCCTTTTTAACATCCTACACAGCCCAAACTTTCCTACATACCTCCGAAATCGATTTACTTTTCTTAAATCCCCAGATACAGTTTGTAGATCTCACCTTAAAACTCTCTTAAAATTCCCATCCTTTAATACTCATTCATATTCCCGTTCATTCTCCGTACAAGCAGTAAGACTCTGGAATTCGCTTCCTACCGATATTCGCGAAATCAAAACACTGACATTATTCAAAAAACGAGTGAAAGAACATTATTTATCGCTGTCTTCTGTGTAAGTCTCAAAGCTCTGATATGTACTATACTGTTACAAATATGTGCATGTACATATATGTATGTATGTGTGTCTGTATATATGTTTATATATTTAATTATGACTTTATATTATATTTAGTGTTTATGTATGTATTAATGTTTGTTTAAATATGAATATATTTATGTATTTTTATTATATAAGTATATATATATATATATATATATATATATATATATATACGTATTTGAGTTGACGTATATATTTATCTTACACCCATATGTGTAGTAAAATAACAAAGTGCACACCTTATAATCATTTAGTAATCATATGTGTTTGAAACTGGCCTACTGGAAGAAATTTCATTGTGAGATAAGTAGAGCCTTTGTACAAACTTTTTATTAAGATGTGTCCTCTCCCTAACTTGTGTGTACATAAATTGTGAAATAAATAAATAAATAAATAAATAAACGCTCGCAATTAATTCGGAAAGACTATGTACTAAATTACAAAAATCTCTCGTCAATTTAACGCACCCCCCAGCATTCGTTATCAACCGCCCATCGCCAATTTTTAATAGTGTGTCAGCATAGTTTCCAGGATTGACATCATTATACAAATGCTATGCACGACGCAAGCGACGAGATACCTGCTTAGTGTAACCAGCACTGGTTGAGCAACTCAGGGGCGGTGGGCGAAGCCACGGGGGTCGCGACCAGCGAGGTTCGACAACTAGCGAGGGTGCATACAACAACACAGAAAAGCAGCCGTAGTCTTGGTTATTGTATTTAATTTTGTTAAACATGTATAACTTATATTAATACAAGATTTAGAATAAGATAATAAAAAAAGAATGATGTTGTAACTATGCAAATAACTCTCCCAATAAAGGCATCAAATAAATAACGAGAGTTAGCATAGATTTTAAAATATAAATTGTACTCTTATAGTTAATTTACCTTTGTTGCATATCACCTTTATTGTATACATATTACCATTCATATAAATTACCTTTCTTAAGATAATTATAACATTATCAGGGAATGTTATCGTGACGCGGCCGCGGAGTTAATGAAGCTACGCGTAGGGCGTCACGACGATTTATATTTATAGTGCTGAGGTGCGGGGCAGGGTTCTCAGCTTAAAAATTATAATTACAAGGTTTAAAATCTTTTAGAGTATAAGATAATTATTGTGTACATAATAGTATAAGAATTAGATGTAAAAA